AGCCTCCCTTGTCTGCAGGTTTAATAATTATATCATCATCAGCCATCAATGTATGTAATGCTTCTTTCTCGGAAGACAACAAATTGTGTCTAATAAAATAGTCATCAGGCTTAAAACAGGAAAACACGTCTTGCTCTACCAGCCGGCAGTTTAGGCCAGCACTCTTAAAATAAATTTAAGTGTAATTATTGAGTGAAGCCTGCTCCATCCTCCATTCATTCAGTGTGATAGAATTTCCAATAACTAGGGCACATTCAACAGGATTCTCAGTGGGTTTTTCACTGAGTGGGGATAATCTATTAGAAGTTGTAATCGGAACAGAAGAGCGGTGTTTTGTCCTGCGACTACAGTGCCTCACAGTCACCCAGTTGCCCTGCTGCAGGGGCTCTACTACAGCCGGAACCGAACAATGTACAGAGTTCACTATGCTAGGCGCATCCAAAGCAGTATCTAAAGACGTATCTAAAGCCCTTGCACCCTTACAATTAACCTCAATTAAAGTTTGGATGCGTATCTCTAGTTCTGAAATCTTCTACATCAGCCTGACTATCTCAGGGCTCTCAAGTGTCATGCATTGAGCAAGACAGTCACTCATTTCAGTCTTTTGTCACGCTCTCCCGCCACACATTGTATTTCTCACGCTGAAAAACTATTTGTAATATATTTAATATGCCGCAGCGCCCAAAACTCTGGCCGCGGCGCTATCACTGTGCAACCGGCAGAATCAAGCGCGTGCTGCGCGTCTCCTCTAGTGTTGTTCGTCTGGTGTTGTTAGCCAATCAGAAAACAGCACTATTGTATCTGGGTAAGATTTAACGCAACAACCAATGACACCCCGTCGGCTGGGTGTCACACTCTCTCTCCCCCACCCCCCCCCCCCCCCCCCGGTGTCACTCTTACCTGTCTTCAAAACTTGAGAGCCCTGCTATCTCCCTGCATTTATCACATGTAAATCCTATGCTGACAGAGAAGACTATGCAATACATGTTAGATTAAGTGCAAGTGACAATAAGAGGAGAAGAAGACATGACTCACCGTGTTTGTTGACTGATCCTACTTACCACAGCTTTGATGGATTTGTAAAGGTGCGAGCAATAAATAAATAAAGAGAGCATGGATGGCACGCTAACAGGCTAGGGAATTACTAGCGTGTTGTGCTAGCAACCTTTTAGATTGAAGCTAGTGATGTCTGGTTAATATGTGATGTTGACTAAATTATATTTAGCAGTATAAACAACAGGGAATGATAGTAAATAATGATTCAAAACAGAAAGATATACGAAGCTACAGACGCAAACAACCTAAGCAGAGCAGCAAGGCAGACAAGAGCAATCGAGCAGACAGGTTTTAATGTTGTTGTGGTGTTTTTAATATGCTTTAAGACAAACCATGTGCAAATTCATAAGTCAACACCATTCCTGAGTATTTTCTTCTCAAAAAAGGGGTTTGGAAAATGCACTCATGATGTACTACTTACTCATTATATACATTTTGAACACAAAAAAGTTATGGACTGCAGCTTTAACCTTGTAAACCATAAGTTGTGAATGTTATTATACTATTAACCTCATTCTTCTTGGTCTAATAGATGCTGCAAAAAATATATATGTTTATCACAACAACAAAAATCTGATCCACTGCAAGATTTTCTGGAAGTATACAGCTAAATCGTTACTTTTTTTAAACGTACTGCCTACATTTTGCTAACAGCATCATAAAATTAGGTTTTTAAAAATCCAAAAGATTGTATTAAAATACTTCAGCCATTATAAGAATCAGATCTGTTTTAATTGCACTTATCATTTCATTTCATTTCATTTCACGTTTATTGTCATTGTCATCCAGAGAACAACAACGAAATTGTGTTTGGAGCATACAACAACCGTACATGGTGTCTTAGAGTGCACTAACAAAATAAGTAATAAATACCCCTGTGTAAACATGGCACATCGAAGTATATAGTTGTTTAAAACACAGAACCAGTGACATTCACTCTTAATAGCAGCAAGAGGCTTCACAAAACAAAAAGACAACCAGGACAAAAAGTATGATGAGTATGATAATCAGAGTTGGATATGGATGTGATTAATGCAACAATGCAAAGTCCAGTTCACAGTTATTTCACAGAGAGGTATGAGGGGTATGAGTCGTATGAGGGGTATGAGGGGTATGAGGGGGAGTGGGGGCATCATTAAGCAGGATAGATGTGGTTAATGCAACAATGCAACGTCCTGTTCACAGCTGTTTCACAATGAGATATAGTTTACTGTCCTTGGGGGGGGAGGGGGAGGAAGGGCATCATTAAGCAGCATTAAGCAGCCTCACTGCGTAAGGGTACAGGCTGTTAGCCAGTTTTACTGGCACCAATAGACCTGTACCTTCTCCCTGAAGGCAGCAGGTGGAACAAATGATGGGCCGGGTGATGCTGGTCCAGTAAGATGCTATGCACTCTCTTCAGACAGCGGGTATCATAGATGTTGCTGATCTCTGGAAGAGTGGTCCCAATGATTTTACCCGCTGTATTTACCACTCGTTGGAGTGCTTGCTGATGGACTTTAGTGCAGCTGGAATACCACACTAAGAAGCCATACGTCAGAACACTGCTGATGGCACAGTTGTAAAAGTTGACCATCAGCTGTTTAGGAATCCTGGCGCTCCTCAGTTGCCTCAGATAGTAGAGGCGTTGCTGGGCCTTCCCTATCACAGAGGTGATGTTGATTCCCCAGGACAGGTCCATACACATGAACATACACAAAAAAAATCTATTTTCCAGGAAATAATATAGTTTATATGTTCTTCAAAGCACGTTTTCCTTGACAGATGCAAAGTAAAAAGAAAGAAAAGAGAAAGGTCTTTATTCTCCTAAGGTCGTGGTTCAGGCTTTTGTGAGAAGTCTTTGGCATATTATAGTACTTTAGCTATGACACTGAAATGAATTTTTTAAAACATTTATAACAACAGACACCATGATGAACACTTGTAAACCCTGCCGGCATAAATGCATAAATGACACAAATAATTACATAACAGTGGACAATCACAGCACAGCAAAACATTCTTCAAGAATAGAATTAAAAGAGACATGAAATGGAGAAAACATTTATAATTTATCATTACTGTTAACGCCCCAGTGAATAACTACACTTGGCAGTAAAAAAAAAAAGATCAGCATGCCATCTCAAATGCTTCATAAAAGGTTACAATGTTACAAGACATTTGTAAAAAAAGAAAATAAAAAAAAAAGAATAAAAAAAAAGAAAAGCAATTACCTTTTTGCACATTTAACAAAAACGTGCTTTATAATACAAAATGCATATTGTTGTTTAAGCAGTTAACATATTATGCTTATTACCTGTAAGGCTTATGCAACAGTCAGAAACACTTATGTAAGATAATATATAAAAAATACATTACATAAACCCATATTAGGCATTTTGTTGCCGCTTTTCTCCAGTGTCTTTCAGCAGTTTTACAGGTTCAGTTCCTGAGATTCAGAGTTTGATCAAGGACACAATGGTGATATTTCATGGATCGACCTTTGCAGGATTTGAACCTTTTACACTTTAACCACAAAGATACGACACCATAAACAAAGTGCATCATAAACTTGAACATTTTCTGCTGAAAACACCAGTTTAGAGCAACATTAATGTCAGGAATAACATCATACTGGTGTTTTCATCAGGGATGTTCCTCTAGTGTTGTGAAAATGCTAATACTGAAATTATAAATATACTGTAACATTACCAGTATCAGTAGTATTGGCTTGACCTGTGTGTTGTTTGACTGACAGCTTCTCCGTGAAGAGCATTTCTCTTTCAATATGGAATTACTTGAAGTTGTTCAAAATGTTCATCTAGATGAAGTATTCATGTTCACAACCTGTTATAAATTAATGTAAACATAAGCAGACAAAAAAGCCGACACTTACAGTGTAAATGCTGCTGTTATTAAAGTACCACTGAAGTGTCTTGGAATGCGAAGGTTTGTTTGATGCGTCGACATAATTTCCACTCAAACAAGAGCTAAGGCGGGAAATATTTAATGGCTCCTCCCCCTTTTCAAATAGACAATAGTATTTAGTTTTTACCTCACAGACTGTAATTCGTACTTGACGGCACCATGGAAGCGAATCCGAGCGCTGATGAAACGTTGGCTTCAATAATAGAGGTGTGAATAAACTCGAGCCATTTCATTCTTAACCAACGTACAGTTGGAGAACAGAATAAAACTCGAGCGTATGAGCAACCGAGCACACGTCTCCAACACATATTGCTCTGTGACGTGTCAACGTTGCTTTGGCCAGGTGGTGTTTATAACATAGGGGGCGGAGCTTTAGATTCTAGAGAGCATTTGATTGGACAAAAGATGTGATGAGAAGCTGAAGTCCACGATGATGTCATAAAAATCCATGATCCATTTTAGCGGAAGTGAGAGAGTAAGTTTTGAATGCTTATATCTCCTAAATGCAAATGTTGTCATTGTTTTGGAGCACACCTGATATTCATAACCTTAAGGCTAACATATTCATACTAAAAGCTAAAAAACTTACAGGTGGTCTTTAATGATTACAGAGAAACGAAAAAAAATCACTTACTGACTGTTTCTGTCTGAATCAATTTAGCAGCTTTAATAAACATTTAAATACCACGAAAATCCTCAAGCGCTCTTTGTCCTGTTGGAGGTAATGTTCTTCTTTGTTTCTTACGAATTAACCGTTTGCCTTTTCTGAAGCAATGTTTGCATATTTTTAAATATATTTAGGCTACTTATTATTAAAATAACTAAAAAACGAACTATTTTGAATTAGTTACAATTCGTGTCAAGGTGAAATTTCACTCATATTGGTGCCAACACATGAAATCTTGGTACCGTGACACTCTTTCTCTGTGAGCGATGTGAGTTTCTTCTCTTGTTTCCCATCTTCTCTTCTCTTTTATTGAAAGTATCAATATAATAAGTGTTATGAAGGCGTTTCATTGGCCGCCTCAGCCTCAGTCTGATGAAGGTTCGAGTCACTGAGAGTCTTCATCAAAAAAGTGTCTCTCTGATCAGGGAACGGTCTTCATCTCCTCTTGGCTGTATTTAAAACACACAGATTCACAGAAAGAAAAGTAAATAAACCGGATCGATGTTTGAGTTACACAAAGGCTTGGAATTACAAAAAATAACAAAATATCCTTAATGTAGGATGTTTCTCTTCACATGTATTAAAATAAGTAATCTTTACTAAACAACCTGCACATTTAAATGCTTGAAATATTATGTAAATAAATTATTCTAATTATATAATAATATAAAATGTAAATCACACACAAACATTTCATCAGCTGACAGATCTGAGTTCTGCAGTCACACAGATTCAGGTCATGTAGTTTCTCACCTGTTCACTGCGCTCCGTCCTGTTAGCTTTTGGAGGAAAAACAACAAACTCAATTAAACATTACTTTGGTTAGAGTAACAAATAGAAAATTCTCACATCTTTTAAATATGTTTTTAAATCTCATATTTCAATCTTATTAAATCATTTGTATTTTACACTCACCGTTCCTTCTTGCTCTGCGCTTGCAACAGCAAATCACAGCAACAATCAGAAGAATAATAACAGCAGCAGAAACAGCAACTGTCAGGAATGGAGTCGGATCTGAACCTGGGTCTTGGTCTAAAAAAGCTAAAGACAGACAGTCATTGCTATTTACAAAGTGACTTATAAATCAACTTCAACAGTATTTTTGTCTGATATCTTTCTACACGTTTCTACTTTGGTCATCAGTTGTATGATGTTGATTTAACTGGTGAATAGCTCCATCTTGTGTGTTTTTGAAGAACTAGCAGCTAAAACAGCATCAAGCACTGGAAACTGGAAACACCAGCACAGAAACACTCACTATACATTCATTTTTCATGTTAATAACTTTAGAAATGTGAACATAACTTGTTTGTTGTGACAATTGTGTGTCATTTGATGTGCATGTGAAGAACACTTTTGTCAAATAGACCTCAATGAAAACATTTACTGGGTTGATAGAAACATTTATCAACATATTTAGAAAAATATGAAAAAAGTATGAAAAAATATATGTATTTACACTGATGATAATAAAAGGTGATCAGAGATGATAGTGACCAGAACAAAACAGTTTAAACTGCCACCAACAGAAAAATTAGTTTGTTTTTAAATCATAAAGCACTGAATTTGAAGTTAAAGCTATAAATTACACTTTAAGAGTAAATGTGTTTTTGAATAAATTATCTACACTACCAGTCGATAGTTTTGGTAAGATGTTTAAAAAATTTTTTTTAAATAGGTCACTTCTGCTCACCAAGGCTGCATTTATTTGGTATATACATATATATTATTTTATATTATATTATATTATATTATATTATATTATATTAATATATTATTATATTATATATATATATATATATAATTGTTATGACAATTTAAAATAATGGTTGTCTATGTGAATATATAGTAGAGTGTAATTTATTCCTGTGATCAAAGCTGAATTGTCAGCATCATTACTCCAGTCTTCAGTGTCACATGATCCTTCAGAAATCACTCTGATATGATGATTCGATGCTCATGAAACTAACTTCATTATTATTATTATCAATGTTGAAAACAGTTATTTACATTTTTATTTCAGGATTCTTTTATGAATAGAAACTTTAAAAAAACAGCATTTATCTGAAATAAATAACACATTTAGTCATTTAGCAGACGCTTTTATCCAAAGCGACTTACAACTGATTTTTCTCTCATTTTTTATATATGTTTAATCAAATAAATACAGCCTCTGGTGAGCAGAAGAGACTTATTTTTAAAACATAAAAAATCTTACCGATCCAAAACTTTTGACTGGTAGTGTAGATGCTGTGTGTGAATTAATATACCGGTAAAGAGAACACACCCCTGAATGTCACTGCAAAAGTATATCACTAAACACATTAATGATTTAAATGTACAAGATTTGTTTTAAACATAATGACTCACCATGAACAGAGACACTGAAGATCTTTTCTCTGTCGCTGCTGCCTTTGATGATCTCTAGTTTATATTCTCCAGAGTCTGTGTTTGTGGTGTTCATGATGGTCAGAGATCCAGTCTGATGATCCAGCTTCAGTCTGCCTCTGAATCTCTCAGTATCTTCATTACACTGAACATCTGTACAGATATAACTGAGATCTCCAGTGATGTGAGCGATGAGAATGTCATTATAAAACCATTTAATTCTTTCTTGTTGGTTTGTTTGAACACCAGTGTTTAGAGTGACTGAATCTCCCTCCATCACTAACACTTCTTCTGTATCAACACCAGACACACCTGAAGAAGAAACAATTAACATTAGCCAAATAAATGCATAATAGTCCTTTGAAAATGCTTTCCTACATATCATAAAAAAAATGGAGTAGAGAAAAATGTCTGGATTCACAATGAACATTCACTTCATGAATATCATACAACCCTCATTATTATGATACTCCAGGAAATTGTGCTATTTCCTAAAACATAAACAATGGAGAGAAAAAAATGGTAAAAAATGGCTTGATCTTTGATTGACCAATCAGCGGAAAGAGGCGTTTTATTCCCACACGTGTAGAGATCGAAAAAAACGACGTGTTTATCCAGTTTGGTTTAATTGTTTTTCCATTTGGCGAATTACAACAAATTTGATGAAAACACAAACAAAAATATGAAAGAAAAGATTTGTGATTTCTTTATGTTCATGAGAAGGGTCGAATATGTGATAATTTCTTTGTTTTTCCGTTTAAGACAAAAACGAGAAAACAAATTATCAGTGTTAAGGAACACTGACCAATAAATAATAGATGCATTGAAAATGAAATGGATGGATGATATGCTGAGAAACTGACATCTTCACCAGAACAAAACACTGAAACTGCCACCAATAGAAAAACAAGTACTTTTTTAAATCATAATGCACTGAATTTGAAGTTAAAGATATAAATTACACTTTTAAGAGTAAATGTGTTTTTGAAGAAATTATCTACAGGTCCTTCTCAAAAAATTAGCATATTGTGATAAAGTTCATTATTTTCCATAATGTAATGATAAAAATTAAACTTTCATATATTTTAGATTCATTGCACACTAACTGAAATATTTCAGGTCTTTTATTGTTTTAATACTGATGATTTTGGCATACAGCTCATGAAAACCCAAAATTCCTGTCTCAAAAAATTAGCATATCATGAAAAGGGTCTCTAAACAAGCTATTAACCTAATCATCTGAATCAACTAATTAACTCTAAACACCTGCAAAAGATTCCTGAGGCTTTTAAAAACTCCCAGCCTGTTTCATTACTCAAAACCGCAATCATGGGTAAGACTGCCGACCTGACTGCTGTCCAGAAGGCCATCATTGACACCCTCAAGCAAGAGGGTAAGACAGAAAGAAATTTCTGAACAAATAGGCTGTTCTCAGAGTGCTGTATCAAGGCACCTCAGTGGGAAGTCTGTGGGAAGGAAAAAGTGTGGCAAAAATCGCTGCACAACGAGAAGAGGTGACCGGACCCTGAGGAAGATTGTGGAGAAGGACCGATTCCAGACCTTGGGGGACCTGCGGAAGCAGTGGACTGAGTCTGGAGTAGAAACATCCAGAGCCACCGGGCACAGGCGTGTGCAGGAAATGGGCTACAGGTGCCGCATTCCCCAGGTCAAGCCACTTTTGAACCAGAAACAGCGGCAGAAGCGCCCGACCTGGGCTACAGAGAAGCAGCACTGGACTGTTGCTCAGTTTTGCATGTCATTCGGAAATCAAGGTGACAGAGTCTGGAGGAAGACTGGGGAGAAGGAAATGCCAAAATGCCTGAAGTCCAGTGTCAAGTACCCACAGTCAGTGATGGTCTGGGGTGCCATGTCAGCTGCTGGTGTTGGTGCACTGTGTTTTATCAAGGGCAGGGTCAATGCAGCTAGCTATCAGGAGATTTTGGAGCACTTCATGCTTCCATCTGCTGAAAAGCTTTATGGAGATGAAGATTTCATTTTTCAGCACGACCTGGCACCTGCTCACAGTGCCAAAACCACTGGTAAATGGTTTACTGACCATGGTATTACTGTGCTCAATTGGCCTGCCAACTCTCCTGACCTGAACCCCATAGAGAATCTGTGGGATATTGTGAAGAGAAAGTTGAGAGACGCAAGACCCAACACTCTGGATGAGCTTAAGGCCGCTATCGAAGCATCCTGGGCCTCCATAACACCTCAGCAGTGCCACAGGCTGATTGCCTCCATGCCACGCCGCATTGAAGCAGTCATTTCTGCAAAAGGATTCCCGACCATGTATTGACTATTGAGTGCATAACTGAACATAATTATTTGAAGGTTGACTCTTTTTTTTGTATTAAAAACACTTCTTTTATTGGTCGGATGAAATATGCTAATTTTTTTAGACAGGAATTTTGGGTTTTCATGAGCTGTATGCCAAAATCATCAGTATTAAAACAATAAAAGACCTGAAATATTTCAGTTGGTGTGCAATGAATCTAATATATATGAAAGTTTAATTTTTATCATTACATTATGGAAAATAATGAACTTTATCACAATATGCTAATTTTTTGAGAAGGACCTGTATATGCTGTGTGTGAATTAAAACACAGGTAAAGAAAAAAACACCCCTGAATGTCACTGCAAAATAATCAAACACATGAATGATGTGATTTAAATGTACAAGACTTGCTTTTAAACATGAAGACTCACCATGAACAGAAACATTGAAGATCTTCACACTGAATCTTCTGCTGTTGCTGATCAGTAGTTTATATTCTCCAGAGTCTTCAGTTGTGGTGTTCATGATGGTCAGAGATCCAGTCTGATGATCCAGCTTCAGTCTGTCTCTGAATCTCTCAGTATCTTCATTACACTGAACATCTGGACAGATATAACTGAGATCTCCAGTGATGCGAGCGATGAGAGTTCCATTAAAATACCATCTAATATCCTCTTGTTGGTTTGTTTGAACACCAGTGTTTAGAGTGACTGAATCTTCCTCCATCACTTCTTCTGTATCAACACCAGACACACCTGAAGAAGAAACAATTAACATTAGCCAAATAAATGCATAATAGTGTTTTGAAAATGCTTTCCTACATATCATAAAAAATTGGAGTAGAGAAAAATGTCTGGATTCACAATGAACATTCACTTCATGAATATCATACAACCCTCATTATTATGATACTCCAGGAAATTGTGCCATTTCCCAAAACATTAAGATACATTGGAAAAGGAAATCTGTATTGTTAATTATTTTACTGTTTCAATCTTACACTTACATAACATGTTTTCATTTACACTTTTATTCACCCAGACACCCACAGTGACTCACACTAAGAACCGATGACATCACGGCTGGATCTTTGGTCGACCAATCAGCGGAAAGATGCGGTGTATTCCCGCACACGTAGAGATCGAAAAATACAACGTGTTTATCCAGTTTGGCGGATTACAACAAAGTTCGATGAAAACACAAACAAAATAAATGGAAAAAATTTTTCCGAAGGAACACTGACCAATAAATAATAAATGCATTGAAATGGATGATATGATGAGAAACTGACATCTTCACCAGAGCAAAACACTGAAACTGCCACCAATAGAAAAACAAGTATGTATTTAAATCATAATGCACTGAATTTGAATTTGAAGTTAAAGATATAAATTACACTTTAAGAGTAAATGTGTTTTTGTAGAAATTATCTTTATACAGTGTGTGAATTAATATACAGGTAAAGAGAAAACACCCCTGAATGTCACTGCAAAAGAATCAAACACATCAATGATGTGATTTAAATGTACAAGACTTGCTTTTAAACACAAAGACTCACCATGAACAGAAACATTGAACATCTTTCCTCTGCTGCTGCTGCTGATGGTCAGTAGTGTGTATTTTCCAGAGTCTGTGTTTCTGGTGTTTGTTATGGTCAGAGATCCAGTCTGATGATCCAGCTTCAGTCTGTCTCTGAATCTCTCTTTACACTGAACATCTGTACATGTATAACTGAGATCTCCATTGATGAGAGCGATGCGAATGTCATTATAATACCAACTAATCAGGTCTTGTTGGTTTGTTTGAACACCAGTGTTTAGAGTGACTGAATCTCCCTTCATCACAAACACTCTGTCAACAGCAAACACACCTGAAGAAGAAACAATTAACATTAGCCAAATAAATGGATAATAGTGCTGTAAAAATGTTTTCTACCATAAAGAGGTCTGTATTCATAATGTACAGAAGAACATCATTGATTTACACAGACAAAAATACAGGAGTCTAATGGAGGATCTTGAACAACTTATGTTCTACTTATGTTATCTTACAACACATGAGTATTAGGCCTACCCATAATAATATGTAAGAAAAATTGTGCCATTTCCCAAAACATTAAGGTATAATGGAACGTTTATTTTAATCGTTATAATTTTTACTGTTTCAATATTACACTTAAATCAAATTACATGTTTTCTTTTACACTTTAATTCATCCAAAGTGACTTACACTACATTCAATGTAAATTTGATCAGTTTATGCACAGCACAGGTATCAACATTTACTCACGGTATGAAGCCATGTTACTTTTAGCCATGTCACTACAACTGCACAATGACGGACATATTTTCAATATTTTGGCCATGTGTTACGGATCAACTGGGGATCATGTCCACTGGGGACGCGCGTGCACGCAGATTTTACCTAGATTTCCAGTTGATGTTAAACGGCGAAAGATTAATGCCCTATTTCACGGATCATCGATTAAAAACAAATATTTCAGCAGTTGTATACACTGGTATGCGAATAAAGCGCTTTGTTTTTGCAGTGTAGGAAATATTCCTGCGTTTTTGATAGGCTACTTCAGAAACCACGCCTATGTTAACATGGGGCATTCGGTTTCATTGGATGAACAGACTTGTCAGCGCACTTCAGAAGACGTGTAAGAATTTTCTTCTCAACATTAGTGTATCATATTTTCTGTAGTGTGTTGTCATGAGTTCTAATCACAAATAACAACAGATGTAGATTAAGTTAAAGGCTACCTAAAAGAAACATAAATTGCAAAGTAATTTACATTTTTTTTTCAACAAGCTGCATTTATTGATCTGCATATATAGCCTAATTTTATAATGGATAGTATTTTTATGTAAAAACACTTATCAGCTTATTTTACTCTGCTGATAATGTACAACCACCTCTGATGCCTCCGTATCCTTTTCCCTGGACATAAAGCAGCTGTACTTATAGGGTCATGAAGTTAATTATCTCATGAACATGTAACATTTTCAACAGATTTATAAAATAAAAACTCATTTTGACTCTTCTTCTTTCAGAACAATTCTGTAGGCCTATGTAATACTCATCTTCTTATGATCATATAATGCTTTCCTGTAGATCAAACAATAGAGCGTTGGCAACGCCAAGGTCATGGGTTCAATTCCCAGGCAAAGCAAGAACTGATAAGAATTTAAAATGTGTACCTTGAAATGCAATGTAAGTCGCTTTGGATAAAAGTCGGCCAAATGTACATTATGCTCAGTATGAGCATGAACTTGAATGTTGTGTATCTAATGTCTTGTTTTGGACATAGAGAACACTTTGTCTTTAGTGATTAAAGTCCTGTGAAAAACACTGAGTAGCAACCACAAATTGTATTACTGAAATAAGCAGAACATATGAAAGAGTGATGATGAATTATTACAAATATATACTGATATATATATATATTCTCTATGGCTAATATCATTAACCTCTTAATAATGTGTCACCTCACATGAATAGCATGACCCTTTCTGAAACAAAAGGAAATGCTTTATTGTTTACTTTTTTTGCTGACCTCTTAACAAAAGAAATATGACACAATGGTCTTATCAGTTTTATAAATAAAATGTAATGGGTTTGGGCCTCTTTTTATGTAATATGAATTTGAATTATGCCAGCTCTTTTTATTTAACTGGTACTATGAATCTCATTAAAATATTCTCTTTAGGCCTACTTGTTTCATCACATCATGTGCTTTCATTGTTGTCGTCTACTCTCGGTTAGGAACTGATTAAAAGGTCTATAAATGAAGAATCATTGTTGTTAGGCCATATACTGCCACAGCAAATTGACACAATTAAAGTTAGAAATCAAAAACTTTATAACCAATACCCTCATAGCTGCTCAAGAAAGAAACACTATTATATAAAGAGGAGATGTGGAAATTACACAATGAAGGGTAATGGTGTGTAAAATTGGTCTTACTATAAAAAGGTAATACAACTGTGACATTTATTTACTAATATAACATGATTACATTAGATGGAGATCAGCGTAAGACCAAACTGGCCAATGGGTAAGAAAAATGTATACATAATATACATTGCAAAACAAGTAACTGTTCTTCATTAGCATATTCTATAGTTTGTTCTTCCTTGAATGTTCAGAATGTGGACGGTGGCATGAATGCATGTACATTTGCCTATTTTTGATTTGATTTTTTTTATTGTTGCTTTCATACCTGTTAGCTAATGAATATGTTTGTTGAACATTCCCCTAAATAAATGCTGTGGGTAATTCACTGGATCCATAAGCTATGGCGTATCAATTTTCATAACTCTTTAGGAACATTTATGGAGTGTACTGTATGCTTTATGCTTTAACTCATTCCTCAGCAACATTAAAATAAATAATAAATAAATAAATGCTTGACATGTCCCTTTAACCCTTTCACGCGTACGATCACACCGGTGTGATCAGTCTTGGCTGGTCCCTGGAGCGTACGATCACACCGGTGTGATTAGAACGGTCAGTGCATCACGTGATCAACTGCTAAATTCAAACGTGCTTTCGCGCGTTGGCTGGCGCTGAGACAGAGACGGACGCACTCAGTGCTGTCATTTATCACAACTATTGAGTGTTTTCAACCACATAATGTTTATAGGTTTTTAGGTTTCAGACATTTAAATACACAAAAGTACTAGCAAAACAATGATTTTGAGTTTGTAAAATACACACTGATGTCTATGGAAGCGGCAATAATAATCCTTTCCATTATAATAAGACGACACATTTTATTCATATCAGATACACATTGTGAAAGTAGCTTTACATTTGACCCTATTCTTCTCCCAGTTCACCGGCCACTTACTTTCGTGTATTTCGTGAGAAGTGGAGGAATAGGCTTTATGCACAGCTTCACTACTTCCTAAACTTCAGCCAGCCCTTTGTTTCCTGTCTGTCATTATTGGACAAACTGATTAATCCAGGTGTGCCTGATTATTGTTACTGAGGCCAGGCACAGCTGGATTAATCAGTTTGTCCAATAATGACAGACAGGAAACAAAGGGCTGGCTGAAGTTCAGGAAGTAGTGCAGCTGTGGCATAAAGCCAATTGACGTGTTGTAATCCAACAGATCCGATTCTCTGAACTGTAAAACAAACTAAAATGGCGCCGCCCATTGTGTGCATACAGCTCAACTGACGCGATCGTTATAAAGATGTTTAAACAACAAAACCCATCCACTTGCACATATTTGACAATCGGAATATCAGTGTTTCATGCTATAGCTAATACATTTGTGAATATTTTTAATAAAAAAGGAAAAATGACATATCATTTTAAGCAGATCATCACTCATTCAGCGCTGTGTTGTGGTTGTGCTGTCACGTGACAAGCAATGCATGTCACCATGGAAACATTAAAGTGACAAGTTCTAAATAACGGTCGCCTTGAAAAACTCACGCTGGGGGGTCAGTTAGAATATTTTAAACATACGTTACGTGTGAAAGGGTTAACCACAGCAGTACTGCTGTTCAATTTAAATTAAGCCACAAATTGGCATCATACTCATAACAATAATCTGCTAATACACACGCACTGCAAAGACACAATGTCAATAGCATAATTTATTTAATCTACTTACATTTGCCATCAGTATTTCATTGAAACAAATGTAACAAAATAATGTGGGCGTGGTCTGTGTGTCGCGAAATTAAAGCACATTAAAACTTCCCTTAAAGGGGTCTGAAACACACAGCGGAGCAGCACAGAGTAAACAACAGAGTCCTAATATGATACAAACATTTAGCAATAACGTGGAAAGCTTTTAAATCTGCTCAGTGAAAAATTAGCTGTGACGAATCTGTCACCGTTTAACATCTATGGGGTTAGAATTGTTGCATTATTCCAAATAAATAGATTCATATTCACAAATAAATGTAAAGAGTTTCCCAAAAAATTATAAAATTCACAAATAAAAATATTAAGATCCAAAAATAAATGTAAAGAGTTTCACAAAAAAGTGTTTCACATCGTGTCTACCCCGTGCGAGGCTATCTACACTGGGCAAAGCGAATGTGCAAATCATTTGTCCTTGTGTAATTGCGTGTAGTCGCTACTTCAGAAGAAGAACGAGCATCTGTTTACTGTCGTACTGAATCATCGTGTCGCGCTGCGCCGCGTCCACTATAGACATATTTTTTCAGTTGAGACGTTTCGTTGCTATGATACAGAATATCCGCAGCACAGTTTACTTGTAACTGATTTCGCAGATTTTATTTTTCATCCATTTTGTTCGGTTACCTCTGCTGGTTGATGTCGTTGTACAGAAAGAATGTTGTGACAGTTGGTCGGTCGTCGGTGTGGTAATTGTCCCGCCCCTCCTCCACTGTGATTGGACGGTTGGGTAAAAAGTGACAGTGATGAGCGCTGCGTTTTACCCAAAGTTGAACATTTTTCAACTCTCGGCGACCAGTAAAAAACGCAGAGCCCTCGGCGCTTCAGCGTGAAAAAAACGCTCAGCGCCTCGTCACACTCGTGGCGTTTAAAAAACGTGGCGCTCCCATTGAAAACAATTGAAAACGTACGCCAGGCGCGAGTAAAAACGCTTTTAGGCCATGTGTCCACCAAAGCGTTTTTAGCCAGCTGAAAACGCTAGACGCTCTGCTGAAAACGTCTAGCTGTGGGCGCGTGAGAGCGTTTTGGCAGCGCAGCGTTTTTTCAGTTGAGTCATTTCGTTGCTATGATACAGAATATCCGCAGCACAGTTTACTTGTAACTGATTTCGCAGATAATTTGTTTCATACTAAAAATTATTTTTTCATCCATTTTGTTCGGTTAGCTCTGCTGGTTGATGTCGTTGTACAGAAATAATGTTGTGACAG